AGATTAAAAGATCGAAAAAAGAATAGTTGGATTGTTGGCAACATATGACACATAAAAAAGTTGGGGTTCAAAATGGAGTTGATATTTAAAAAGCATGTTGTAATTATTGCGGCAAAGAACTTAGTTAGAAGCCTGGTTCAAACACAACGAATTTCAATAGACACGTATTAAAAAGTTGCAAAGTGAAACCGGTCCGTCTTAACCCAAAACAGACCGAAATAGTATTTAACGGTTCTAGTTCTACAAATAGTATTTAACGGTTCTAGTTCTACTCTTTCCACTTTTGTATATTCACAGAAAAAACTTCATGAATGAATGACTACATACGTGGGAGAAGCAGAGATGTCAGTCAATACACTTCACTTGGCTGGTGCAAAATTATCTTCAATCCAGGTATATTTCTTACTGTAGAAATATTCTTCGTTCGGATAGTATAAAATTATAAATTAGAAGAAAACAAACTGCTATTGAAAGTGTGTTATATCGTTTACCTCTAATTTATGGACCAGTGTTAATAAAAAAAGATTATATTGCTGCTATAGCTTATTATATTGATCACTTATGTATTATGTATAAAAGGATATATGCATACAAATCTTGAAATTCTCTCTAAGTTAGCTAGGTATATATGCATTGACGTTTGTAATATGTTACAACCAAAAAAATTACAGAAATTTAGTCGTTTATCATGGTGGAAGTGCAACGAAAAACAATATCCAATTGTATCAAAAATTGCTCGTGATCTACTAATACCTTCAGTGTCTACAATAACATCAGAGACTGCATTTAGTTTAGGTGATCGAGTTTTATCAATACGAACGATCAAGACTAAAAGAAAATATATTTAAGACTTTATATGCTTGAAGGATTTGGAATGTGCATAATTACGTTTTCAATAACAAGTTGACAGTATAATGATTGAAATGTTGTAGCAGATCCAATTATAGGATATTGTAAATTTTTAAATTGATTAATTTCAAAAAAAAATTTTAATTTTTAATATTTGTTTTAAAAAAATTTGTAAACGAACTATTTTATCCGTGTACAATTTTAACTCCACCTACAATGATTGTAACCGATTCCCAGATAAAGGAGGGTTGTAACTTTTATTTACTTTATAATACGTATAAATTGTACAAATTTCAAATTCTTATAAAAATTAGATTTGTCACAAAAATAAAAAAAAAAAAGCTCGACCACTAATGCCCAAGCCAAAAGATCGGGCCAAGTCTCAATTTTTTGGCCAAGCTTTTGCTCGGTGCTCGAACCGAGCTCCAAGCTTTTGAGTTTTGACTTTTGACTCAACTCCTTGAGCCACCTAGTGTGAGATGCAACCATATCCACGCAATGGAAGTGTCTCTAATCATATCTTCTATTCAATATTAATTTCTGTATTGCTTCTTATTTAATCAAACAAATACTTTAATTATTTGTCTAGTAAAATAGATTAGAGAATAAAATAATTTTAAAATTAACTAATTGTAGCATTATCATTAATTTAGCTTTGCTTTACATTTTGGGTAGATGAAAGCAGTGAGTTCTTTATTAAATGGCTGCTTTGTTTTGATCCACTCACAGATTTGACTAGGAAGAACCACAATTGATAAGAAAAGGTGTCAACGACTCGGGACATTACGTGAATATTTGGTAAAATTAAAAGTTCAAAAATTGTAACGTAATAGAAATAAACAACGAATTTATACACAATTTGGGAAAGCATTATCATAAATTTGGGAACGCATTATCATAAAAACCTAGCAAATATATATAGCTACTTTCCGAAGAATTTCAAATAATTTAAAAATTCTTCTTGCTTCTGTTGATTTCTCTTGTTTTAATGCAGCCTAACACGCTTGGTGAATTTCAAAATTTGCAAACATTTCTCCCATAAGACGATAAAAAAAGGTACAAGAAAAATAATGAAATGACTCGCGAAACATTCTATCAACAAAATAAAATAACTAAGAACCCTAGTCACAGAGATTGTAACCATAAACTCAAGTAGCACGTGGAAAACCATCTGGCAATACATAAAAGATAAAAGTTTATTACCAGTGATAAGGAAGAACAACACAATGAGAAGAATTCCTCCGTGTTAAACAGGTTTTTCCACTAGAAAGTCTACAAAATTCCATATGGATGCAAAGGGAGAAATTGTGAATATTGGCATTTATATCTTCCACATAAAGCCTACTAAACTAGAAAATTCCATAAAAATCAAAACCATTTTGAACACCGGAAATTCATACATTTAAAAGTTCTTTAGTTCTTTAGTTTTCAAGGGAAACTTGCAGGTGAATCTCATTTAAGGTATAAAACCTAAACATAATCCCGACTAACAAGAACGATATTACAATCATATTCATCAATGAATAATATGAAAGCAGCATTCCCATCCCACAAAAATGAGACAAGGAAGAGCTTGTAATTGAATGTAACAGGCTTAAATCATCTCATTAAATCAAGTAAGAAATGAAAAAAATGAAAAACCATGCCCATAATTAACAATGTGGCTACAGTTGTCAGAATCAAGAAACAAATTCATCTCAGTGCCGAATATTTCAGAGAATCCATGATTGGCATCAAGAATCAAAGATAATAGGAAAAAAGCTACCAGATTGGATTTGCAAATTCCGACATCAATATTAATGACCAAAAGTATCAAATCTTAGAGAAACCAAGTTAGCCAAAATTCAATTGCTGCTCAATGTCTTAAGAAATTTGGACGGGCCACCATTTCATGAACATAATAATCTTTCAAAACGTAACAAAACAACTATAATGAGTTAACAAAACTCGAAAATAAAACTACAAACGTACTCAAGATAGCTTCTTCTAATCAAACAAACTGAAACCCATATCGTCGTCGCTCTCCTCCTTGGGCTCCTCCTGGAAAATAATTATTCAAAAGCACATTTTTAATTTATTAATCTAAAAGCTAATGTTTAAAGTATTAAAATCGAAAATTATTATGTAATAGAATACAAGTATCATATCGTGACCAACTGGATAAATATATAAATGAAGTAAATCCAATACCTTCTTCTCCTCAACGGCCGGGGCAGCAGCGGCGGCAGTAGCACCAGCGCCACCGGCAGGAGCAGCAACTGCTACCGCGGCACCACCACCACCAGCTCCAACGTTCGTGATAAGGTCCTCAATGTTCCTCTTCTCACAGAGCTTAGCAAAAAGGCTTGCCCAGTAAGATTCCACTGACACGTTAGCAGCCTTAACCAGTGTCGAAATTTTCTCCGCCTAAAATCCAAAAACAAAAAGAAACAACTAAGATTCATAAACAAAAACCAATATTCATACGCTGACGATGAGATATACACGAATATATAGGGTTGGAAGAAAATTTACAGTGACGGGGATGCCATCATCATGAAGAATCAGGCAAGCATAGGTGCAAGCGAGTTCTCCGAACGTCATTTTCCTTCAACAATTCTGATTTACTGAAAAATAATTTTTTATGAAGAAAAAGGAAATGATTACAACTATGAACACATAAAAAATGGACAAAACATCAAGAGAATTGGAGAGAACATAAGAGGAAAAATCTAACAAAAATGGATGATTTACCTTCGGAGTCAGAGAAATTGCGGCTACGATTTTTAGGGTTACGGTGTAGAGGAAGTTTTAGAAGGTAGGGTATTCTTTTATATCAATCTATATTAGGGCACAGATACAGATGACAGTTCCATTGTTTCATGGGCTTTTCGTTTACACTCAAGCCCATCTAGTTTGTTTTTTCACGACCCAATCCTTTTTAGGAAAATTAGGCCAGGTACCCTATAAAAAGTGGTAATTACATAATATCGGTATTAAGTTTGACTTTTAAAAAAAATTAGATTTTGACTTTATTTAATCAAAAATCAGGTTTTAATTTTACAATTAATATTAATAATAATATTTTAAATTAAATTAATCTAAATACCCACCCTACTACCTACCC